CCATGTTGACCAGGGTGGTCTCGATCTCTTGACCTCGTGATCCACCCGCCTCGGCCTCCCAAAGTGCTGGGATTACAGGCGTGAGCCACTGCGCCCGGCCTAAATTGAGAATTTTTATATGTGCTTACTAATCATTCATATATCTTCTGTGAAAATATGTCTACTCCAATCCTTGGAACATTTTTAAACTTTGCTATTTGTCTTAAGTTTTAATAACTATTTATATATTATAAGTCATAGTTGATATGTAATTTTTAAATATTTTGTCTCATTTTGGGTGAACTAACATTTTACTATTATTAGAATGATCTTTGAAGCACAAAAAAATTTAATTTTAAGTTAAATCTTTGATAATTGATTTTCTTAACACCACAAAGATAACAATGTGCAAAATGCCTTCTGCAGTCCAGCTACCATCAATTCAGCAATTATAACCACTATCAATAATGTTTTGTATAAGGGGGTATCATCTAAAGGAAAACTTTAAAGAAACTTTATCAGAAAGAAAATAGAAGGATAGCAAATGATAAAAAATATCTTTAAGTAAGATAGGAAATAATTGAAAAGAAACATAAACTAACTTGGACAAATAGAAAGTAAATATAAATACAGTGGTAGATTTAAACGTGATGATACAAATACTTTCACTCAATCTAAACAGACTTTTAAAAAAGCAAATCATGAGCAAGGATATAAAACAATTGAAGAATACAATTAACAAATGGAATCTTATAATGTAAAATAATACATACGCATGCACATATATACATATACAATACACATACATGTATCATATATATACATTTATATATCAACTTGAAGACACATTTTTCTAGAGTATGTTGAATATTTAATAGTTATTTGAAGTGACGTGGTGAGCCATAAATTGACTTAATAAATATAAAAAGATTCAATATTATAAAAACTACATGATCCAGCCATAGTGAAAGTAAGGGAGGTTATAAAAATGATAACTAAAATGTCTTTAAATTTTGGAAATTAAAATAATAGACTTAAAAAAATTACAGTCAAGAAAGAAATCATAATTATGCATACACTTTTATCTCAGCAATTCTACTCTCAATTATATATACAACAGGTGTGTATAAATATAAAAATCTAATCCTATATAGAAGAAAGCTCACAACAGAATTATCATCAGTGTTGAAAAAATTTAGCAACCCAAATGTCTATTAATCATAAAATGAAGATGTAATATATGCTTTATCAATCAACAGAATGCTACACAGCAATGGAATTACCAAACAACTGCTACATTAAAAGAAAAAACACTAATGAGTACATATTATATAATTCAACTACATAAACAAGCAAAATTAATGTATATTGTTCAAAGTCAGCATAATACTTAATTGAAGGACAAAAGTAGTTACTAAATGGGTCCGAAAAAAAGAGTTATTCTAGGCAGGATGTGATATTTTATACCATGATCTGAGCAGTAGGTAAAATTGGTATCTTCACTAAGATAATGCTCAAAATGATCTTACATTTTTTAGCTATTCACTTGGTGTATGTATATTTATGTTTTATATTTAATATTTAAATGTTTATTTTATGAGATATGTAATGTATTTTAAAATTCTAGGAATCAAACAGCCAAATAAGTGCAGAAAATAGAAAAAATGCTAGAGGTTCCATCACAGTGTGGCCAGTAAAAGCCTCTCTTAGAGGTAACACTCAGAAGGAAGGCTCAAAAAGGGAAAAAAGTGTGCCTTTGGTAGTAGCAAGAAAGAGTACTCCAAGAGCTGGAAAGAGGGGACAAAATGTGTAAGGTGCTGTGATGAGAATGGTTTTGGGAGCTTAAAGCAAATAGAAGGTATCTAGAAGGCAATGTGCAGGGGAAAAGTGTTAAGAAAAGAGCTTGCCAGTGTCTAACAATGTGGGGTCTGTAGACCAAATAACAGACTAAGATTTTATTCTTAAAATAACGAGAAGCCAGGTAAAAATCTTAATCAAGGAAGTGTCACAATTGGACCTTTATTTCAAAAGATTATTCTGGCTACTGGGTGGGAAACATTAGGAGACAAAAGAGTAGAGTAGAAGCAAAGTAACTGTCTATGAGACATGTCACTCACCATGACACAATTCCTTTTGAGGAACTTAGAGGCGATAATTTTCACATTGCATTTTCACAGTCTTTCTAACAGCTCTCAAAATGGCTCATGATGTTGAGCACGTTCTCATATGCCTGTTTGAGAACTAAGAGTGTAATTGGATTATTCATAACACAAAAGATAAATGCTTAAGGGACAGATACCTTATTTGCTATGATGAGATTATTTCATATTGCATCAAGATATCTCATGTACCTTGTAAATATATACACTTACTACATACCTGCAGAAAGTTAAAATTTAAAAAGTAAAAAATTTAAAAAGACATATTTTCTCTGCATGATAGAAATTAATTTTCTCACCTGACCTTCCATTTCTACTTTAAAAATATCTGTCAGCTCCATTAAATTGTTTATGTTCTTCTCTATGCTGGTTATTCCAGTTAGCATTTCAATAGCTGAATTGATTAAGTGGGAGAAGGAACGTCAAAGATTGAAGACCAACTCAATGAAATAAAGTGATAAGGCAAGATTAGAGAAAAAAGTGTGAAAAGAAATGAACAAAGCCTCTAAGAAATATGGGATTATGTGCAAAGACCAAATCTACATTTGATTGGTGTACCTGAAAGTGATGGGGAGAATGAAACCAAGTTGGAAAATACTTTTTAGGATATAATCCAGGAGAATATCCTGAACATAGCTAGGAAGGCCAACATTCAAATTCAGGAAATACAGAGAGCACCACAAAGAAATTCCTTGAGATGAGCAACCCCAAGGCACATAATCCACAGATTCACCAGGGTTGAAATGAAGGAAGAAATTCTAAGGGCTGCCAGAGAAAAAGGTTAGGTCACCCACAAAGGGAAGCCCGTCAGACTCACAGTGGGATCTCTTGGCAGAAATCCTACAAGCCAGAAGAGGGTGGGAGTCAATATTCAACATCCATAAAGAAAATAATTTTCAACCCAGAATTTTATATCCAGTAAAAATAAGCTTCGTAAGTGAAGGAGAAATAAAATCCTTTATGGACAAGCAACTGCTGAGAGATTTCATCACACCAGGTCTGCCTTACAAGACCTCCTGAAGGAAGCGCTAAACATGGACTGGAAGAACCAGTACCAGCCACTGCAACAACATACCAAATTGTAAAGACCATCATCACCATGAAGAAACTGCAACTAATGGGCAAAACAACCAGCTAGCATCAAAATGGCAGGAGCAATTCACATATAACAATATTAATCTTAAATGGAAATGGGCTAAATGCCCCAATCAAAATATACACACTGTCAAATTGGATAAAACGTCAAGACCCATTGGTGTGCTATATTCAGGAGACCCATCTCATGTGCAAAAACAGACATAGGCTAAAAGTAAGGGGATGGAGGAAGATTTACCAAGCAAATGGAGAGGAAAAATAAAAAAGCAGGGGTGGTAATCCTCATCTCTGAAAAAACAGACTTTAAACCAGCAAAGATCAACAGAGACAAAGAAGGGCATTATGTAATGGTAGAGGGATCAATGCAACAAGAAGAACTAACTACCCTAAATATATATGCACCCAATACAGGAGCACCCAGATACATAAAGCAAGTTCTTAATGACTTACAAAGAGACTTAGTCTTCCACACAATATTAGTGGGAGACCTTAACACTCCACTGTTAATATTAGACAAATCAATGAGACAGAAAATTAACAAGGATATCCAGGACTTAAACTCAGATCTGGATCAAGTGGACCTAATAGACATCTACAGAACTCCCCACCCCAAATCCACAGAATGTACATTTTTTTCTCAGTGCCACATCACACTTATTGTAAAATTGACCATATAATTGGAAGTAAAATACTCCACAGCAAATGCAAAAGGACAGAAATCATAACAAACTGTTTTTCAGACCCCAGCGCAATCAAAATAGAACTCAGGTTTAAGAAACTCACTCAAAACCACATAACTATATGGAAACTGAAAAACTTGCTCCTGAATGGCTACTGGATAAATACTGAATTGAAGGCAGAAATAAAGATGTTCTTCAGAACCAATGAGAACAAAGACGCAATGTACCAGAAGCTCTGGGACACACTGAAAGCAGTGTCTAGAGGTAAATTTGTAGCACTAAATGTCCATAAGAGAAGCAAGAAAAGGTCTAAAATCAACACCTTAACATCACGATTAAAAGAACTGAAGGAGCAAGATCAAACAAATTCAAAAGCCAGCAGGAGACAATAAATAACTAAGATCAGAGCAAAACTGAAAAAGATAGAGACAGAAAAAGACCCTAAAAAAATCAATAAATCCAGCAGCAGGTTTTATGAAAAGATCAACAAAATAGATTGACTGCTAGCCAGACTAATAAAAAAGAAAAGAGAGAAGAATCAAATAGATGTAATAAAAAATGATAAAGGGGATGTCACCACTGATCTCACAGGAATACAAACCACCATCAGATATTACTACAAACACCTCCATGCAAATAAACTGGTAAATCTAGAAGAAACAGATAAATTCCTAGACACTTACACCCTCCTAAGAATAAACCAGGAAGAAGTTGAATCCCTGAATAGATCAATAACAAAGTCTGAAATTGAGGCAGCAATTAAGAGCCTGGCAACAAAAAAAAGTCCAGGACCAGGCAAGTTCATGGCCGAATCGTACAGAGGTAGAAAGAGGATCTGGTACCATTCCTTCTGAAACTATTCCAAACAGTATAAAAAGAGAGAATCCTCCCTAACTGATTTCATGATGCCAGCATCATCCTGATACCAAAACCTGGCAGAGATACAACTGAAAAAGGAAATTTCAGGCCAATATCCATGATAAGCATGGATGCAAAAATCCTCAATAAAATACTGGCAAACCGAATCCAACAGCACATCAAAAATCTTATCCATCACCACCAAGTCAGCTTGATCCCTAGGATGTGAGGCTGGTTCAACACAGGCAAATCAACAAATGTAATCCATCACATAAACAGAACCAAAGAAAATATCCACATAATTATGCTCAAGGAAATGAGAGAGGACACAAGCATATGGAAAAACATTCCATGCTCATGGTTAGAAAGATTCAATATTGTGAAAATGACCATACTGCCCAAAGTAATTTATAGATTCAATGTTATTCCCATCAAGATGCCATTGATTTTCTTCACTGAATTGGAAAAAACGCCTTAAACTTCATATGAAACCAAAAAAGAAAGCCTGAGTAGCCAAGACAATTCTAAGGAAAAAAAAAAAAAAAGCTAGAGACACCACATTATTTGACTTCAAACTATACTACAAGGCTACGGTAATCAAAACAGCATGGTGCTGGTACCAACACAGAAATACAGACCAATGGAACCATATAAAGGCCTCAGAAATAATGCCATACATCTACAACCATCTGATCTTTAACAATCCTGACAAAAACAAGCAATGGGGAAATTATTCCATATTTAATGAATGGTGTTGGGAAACTGGCTAGCCACATGCAGAAAGCTGAAACTGGATTCCTTCCTTACACCTTATAAAAAATTAACTCCAGATGGATTAAAGATTTAAACACAAGACCTAACACCATAAAATCCCTAGAAGAAAACCCAGGCAGTGCCATTAAGGACATAGCCATGGGCAAGAACTTCATGACTAATATATCAAAAGTAATGGCAACAAAAGCCAAAATAGACAAATGAGATCTAATTGAACTTAAGAGCTTCTGCACAGCAAATGAAACTATCATTAGAGTGAACTGTCAACCAACTGACAAAGGGCTAATATCCAGAATCTACAAAGGACTTAAACAAATTTACAAGAAAAAAAAAACAAACAACCTCATCAAAAAGTGGCTGAAGCATATGAACAGACAGTTTTCAGAAGACATTTATACAGCCAACAAACATGAAAAAAAATCTCATCATCACTGGTCATTAGAGAAATGCAAATCAAAACCACATTGAGACACCATCTCACACCAGTTAGAATGGCAACCATTAAAAAATCAGGAGACAGATGCTGGAGAGGATGTGGAGAAATAGGAACACTTTTACACTGTTGGTGGGCGTGAAATTAGTTCTGCCATTGTGGAAGATAGTGTGGTGATTCCTCATGGATCTAGAACTAGAAATATCATTTGAACCAGCAATCCTATTACTGGGTAAATACCCAAAAGATTATAAATCATTCTATTATAAAGATACATGCACACATATATTCACTGTGGCACTGTTCACAATAGTGAAGATTTGGAACCAACCCAAATGCCCACCAATGATAGACTGGATAAAGAAAATGTGGCACATATACACCATGGAATACTATGCAGTCATAAAAAAGGATGAATTTATATCCTTCACAGGGACATGGATGAAGCTGGAAACCATCATTCTCAGCAAAGTGACACAAGAACAGAAAACCAAACACTGATGATCTTATTCATAAGTGGGAGGGGAATATCACAAACTGGGGCATGTTGGAGGGTGGTGGGCTAGGGAGGGATAGCAGGGATTGGGGGGATTGGCAATGGACAGCATTAGGAGAAATACCTAATGTAGATGATGGGGTGATGGATGCAGCAAACCACCATGACACATGTATACCTATGCAACAATCCTGCACATTCTGCATATGTACCCCAGAACTTAAAGTATAATTAATATATTTTTTAAATTTGTCAATGAGAAAAGTTCAATTTAAAAGCCAAACTTTCTCTGATGACTCAAATTAAAATACACAAATTCTATGTCAATATTTTGACATTTACTTTGAATCATTTGACACTTTAAAACCTTTCATGGACTTCATATAACTTACTTTTAGTGTGAGTATCTTTATTTTTATCCTTCAGATATAAAGAGAATGTTATGAAATTATCAAAAATTCAACATGATCAACCAGTGAAGCCCCTGGATCAAGCAGTCTTCTGGATTGAGTTTGTCATGCGCCACAAAGGAGCCACGCATCTTCGGGTTGCAGCCCACGATCTCACCTGGTTCCAGTACCACTCTTTGGATGTGATTGGGTTCCTGCTGGCCAGTGTGGCAACTATGATATTCATCATCACAAAATGTTGTCTGTTTTGTTTCTGGAAGTTTGCTAGAACAGGAAAGAAGGGGAAAAAGGATTAGTTATAGCTAGAGCTTGAGCTGGAAAACCTGATTGATGGGACTACTTCAGTTTATTCCAGCAAGAAAGATTGTGATGCAGGATTTTTTCCTCCCCGAGACAAAAAAATAAAAATAAAAAACAAATATTTCCAAAACCTACCTTGGCAAGTAAAAATTTGTTTTTCAGAAGTTTACCACCCTGTTAATGGTTAGAAATATTTTGTGGCAATGAAGAAAACACTAGGGAAAATAAAAAATAATATAAAGCCATAGGAGCTTATATTGAAATTTGTTGCACTTATATTGAAATTTGCTGTTCTAATTCACAGGTTAAAGGAAAAAAGTTTTCTTCAGCTTAACTATATTATACACATTGTACATAAACACAAGAACAGTAAGAAGTCCACTGACAACATCAGTACTGTTTTGCACATACTCAGAATACTTTGACTTCATTTTGAACAGGATTTTGTTGTTTTAACTGTTGCTAAAGAAACTATTACATGGTTAAATTGTATAAAAAATCTTTCTCGTCCTTTTGTATAAAAAGTCTCTCTTGTCCTTTTGATATTTGGGGATGAGTACTGTTGCTTAGCTTTTATAATGCATGCAGCCTTATTGTGGTATTTTTTCTAAAACTTATGGCAAAATGTTTACTGTTTTAGTGCTTAAGTCTTTCCCACTGGAAATTATGTGAAATTAGAAATATAGCAACTCTTATCTCCTTTCTTCTGTAAGATTGAACTATTTTACAATATCTTTGCTTTCATGAGCCAGTTCTACTTTTTCTAGAGGTTCAAAAATATTCATCTGGTTGATTTTATTCACATTTTTATGCTGCTGTGAGAATGTAAACTAGAATGTACTAGTATTTTTACCACATAAAAGTATTTTTACCACATCCATGCCACCATTGTATATTTTGGGATTTTTAACTTATGGCCATTCTTGCAGAACTTTTTAATTTTCCTGATAATTAGTGAAGTTGAGCATTTTTTCATGTATTTTAGTCATTTACATATCTCTTTTTAAGAATTGTCTATTCATGACCATAGCCTACTTTTTGATGGGGTTACCGGTTTTTCTCTTTGGAGTTTTTTGAGTTCTTTGTAGATTCCTGACATTTGTTCTTTGTCAGATGCATAGTTCATGAATATTTTTCACTACTCTGTGAGTTGTCTGTTTACACAGCTGATTATTCTTTGCCAGCAGAGCTTTTAAGATTAATTAAATCACAACTATTTATCTTTGTTTTAGTTGCATTTGCTTTGGGATTTTTGGTAATAGGGTTTTGCCCAACACAAGAAGAGTTTTTCCAATGTTATCTTTTAGATTATTTATTGTTTCATGTGTTAGATTTAATTATTTGATCCCTTCTGAGTTGATCGTTTATAAGGTGAGACACGAGGATGCAGTTTCATTCTTCTACATGTGGATTGCTAATTATTCCAGTCCCATTTGTTGAATAAAGTGCCATTTCCCCCATTTTATGTTTTTGTTTGCTTTATCAAAGATCAGTTGGCTGTTAAGTATTTGGCTTTATTTCGGGATTCTCTATTCTGTTCCATTGATCTACCTGCCTGTTTTCATGTGAATACCATGTTGTTTTGTAACTATAGCCTTCTGATATAGTTTGAAGTTGGGTAATATGATGCCTCCAGATTTGTTCTTTTTTCTTAGTCTTTCATCGGCATGCAGGTTTCAAAGCTGAGAATCAAATTAAGAACTCATCTATTTTCACAATAGCTGCAAAAAGGAAGAAAAAATACTTAGGAATATACCTAACCAAGAAGATGAAAGACTTCTACAAAGAAAACTACAAAACACGGCTGAAAAAATCATAGATGACACAAACAAATGGAAATACATCCCATGCTCACGGATGGGTAGAATCAATTTTGGGAAAATGATCATATTGCCAAAATAAATCTGTAAGTCCAACTTAATTGTCATCAAAATACCATCATCATTCTTAACAGAACTAGAAAAAAAATCTTGAATTTAATATGGGTTATATTATAATTTTTGATCTTTAATAACAAATGTAAATCCCTAATTTTAGGTTGTGATAATATAGGAATTACACTCTAAAAGGACTTAGTAAATTATCAATCTTGCTAAACATGCATGTACATATACATGTCCATTTCTTTTAAAATAAGTCACAGCATCACTTAACTAGCTAATAAATATGTTGTGAAATTCAATGTTTTTTGAGGACAACTTGAAATAATTATTATTCTACATTACTATACTTTACATGATCATATCTAATTTTTTTCATTTTCCACAGTGTTTTGATCCTTCACTCCTATAAATATCATATGGAAACATAAAGTTTTTAGTATGCCAAAAAAATACATACAAAGAATACAAAAAGTTTATAAATTTTGTGGAAAATATCTAAATTAAGCCATAGATCTCCTTTAATCTTCATATCAGGAAAGCACTTTATGATCAAAGTCTTACCATTAATCAATTCTTACAAAAGGTATTCTCCAGCATAAGGTATGATTAAAAATATATATATATGTATATTTATAGTTATATACACATAGATAAATCATGTCATACACACACACACACACACACACACACACACACACACACACACAGAAACACTGATGCTAGAGAAATTACAGGAAGAGTTTGTAACAGAATATTTTGTTGGGAGCCCTCCCGTGTGAGACTGCAAAGCAGGTTTTCACTATACGGGAGGTTGAGCCCAGGAGCAGGGCTTCCAGGCAGAGGGAAGTCGAGATAAAGAAGTCAGGGACAAGAGAAAAAGGAGAATCTAGTTAAAAGATAACCAGATGGGCAAAACCAGATGGCATGCATTCATGAGGAACAAGGTTTTTTGCTACAGAAACTTGCTTACTTACGAGCACCAAAGATATTATTATCTTCTATAACCACCTATTGCTTAGCTGTCAATTTATTGTATAGAATTGATGATTGAGCTACTTGTTTCTCTCCTTACCATGATGTCAATCAGACCCTGAAAATGTATATATTCTGAGACTTGAAAAATAAAGTGGCTGGTGGAGCACTTACTCCCCAGACCTCTTGACCCCGCTTTTCTGTCTCCCATTTTTCCTGCGCACTCCCCATTCAGGTTGGAACCCTCTTGCTGGTCAAGAGTTCCTGGCAATATTTCATACAAATCATCCAGGAATAGATATAGATATAAAGAAAAACAGAACTTACGTAGTGTCAAAGATTAATAATGTTCTTTTATCATACTTATAAACCTGAATTAATTCACCTAAAATCTATGCTACAACATGCATAACAAAATATTGGTATCCACTGTTCAGTGAGAACTACACATCACCTACCAAAACAGAAAATCTAATAAAAATGGATGAAAATATGACTAAGTAATTCAAAGTAAAATTGGCCAATAAGGTATAAAAGATTAAAAAGTTACTGATGGTCAGAACAATAGAAATAATGCCAACATATTAATGCCTTAGAGAAGATTAGCACCCTATTAAAAACCTGAGAATTCTACTTTAGAGGGAGTATAATTTGAAATAATACTTTTAAATGAAATGTAAATATATCATTATAAACTAAAGTTCTACTTCTAGAAATCTGTCATACAGAAATCCTTGCAGATAAGCATGTGTATGAACAGAATGATTCCTCCAGCAGTTAAATGGCTTTCAGTCAATGAAAACGTGTACCGCCAACAAATATATGAGTATAATCATTGCAGAGAACAGGCGGATTATCACATTGCTAAACAGAAGAAGTAGCTTCCAGAAAAACAAAAAGTATTTTTTTCAATAAAATAAATGTAAACTGTTACAAAAAAGAATTTTGAAAAAAATGCATGTAATTTCAAGGATGAGAATTTATATTTTTATTCTATACAATTCTGGGATGTTTAACTTTTCACAGTGTTTTCATATATTAATTATGAGATTTAAAATTTGATTTGTGGAATAAACACATCAATTCAAGACAATAAGTTCCAAAATGTAACATCCCATTATTAATTTACTAGTGTCATTCCAAAAGCTTGATAAAATTTCTCCTATATTATCTATTTTATCCACTTGCAGCTTGTTTTTAGAAGATTCATTCTATTTTTAAATATCTATGATTAAATATAATACAATATTTTTAAATTGCAGTAATTGTAGAAATATAAATTCATATTTTAGTATATTTTATTTTACTATTTTTTATATTTTATGAATCATACAATAGTTTAATAACTTCTGCTGCCTTCTTCAAAAGGCTATATTTTTTGTTATTTTGAGTCATCACAATAAATACGTTGGCAATTTTCCTATAAAGTAATATCCCCTCCTTTTGAAGTTTGGCAAATTTTGTAGCTGTCTTAACAAAAAAAAAAAATGTAATGAAAATAATGCAGCTAAAACTTCAAAGCTATTGTGGAAACACAGCATGTTCTCCCTCTGTTTCTGTTTCCCTCTTTCTGTTTATTTTCATGTCTGTTTTTCTCTCACCATTAACCAACACCTCATCAACTCAAAACGTAGTCCCCATAATAAATGGCAATTTGGTAGAGAGACACAAATATCTGCCTAAGAAATCCTGGTAGCCCACTAGCACTTTGAGCTTTTCCACGCTAATCACTAAGTATGAAAGTGAATGATCTTCAGTTAATTATAGACCCAGACACCATAGAAAAGTAGCAACCTAAGAAACACTGTAGAAGGAGTTAACTGAGCTCACCTACACACAAACTCTGAGAAATGATATAGAATGATTACAGTTGTTTTAAGGCCCTAATTTGCAAACAATTTGTTATGAAGTGATACATACCGGGAATAATAATTCTACATATTTTAAATTATACGTTTGTAATAAAATTACAATTAATATATATCTACATAAGTGGGAAACCACATTTTGAAAATATTTGTACCCCAAATAGGAGAGTTAACATAACATAGTGGTTAAGAGCTGGCACTCTGGATTCAGATGGCCTAGATTCAAGTCTCGGAAACCATTACAAAGTGATGTGGGGTTAGACAAGTTACTTGCATTTTATTTGCCTCAGCTTCCTCAACAATGAAATGGCAATGGTTGTCATAGCATTATCAATATCAAGGGATTGCGGAAAGAATGAATGGAATGATATTGTACAGCACTAAAACAATCCTTTGTATGGCAAAATAAAATTTGCATTATCATTAAGCAAATCAAAAAATTTCCATAATAATAATTTTATTGTTCATATAATTGCATAATATAATTTCAAAACATGTTTCTATTGTAAATAATAAAAATA